ACATTTTGGCACTGGAGAAACCATGGTGGAAAAAGATGTTTTCAATGAAACGAGATGTCTTCATGAAACGAGATACAGGAGCAGAGCTACAACACAGACCATTCAGGCTAGCAAATCTCACGAGCAAAATTCTGGCTGAAGAAGTCCCCCATGTCTAATGGTTTCTCTGCTCCCACATGACCCAATAACATTTTTATTTCATAATACAGGCTTGGGAGGGGTCACCAGGGCAATGTGGTTTGTTCTTCAGCTCTCCCAGCACACCATGCCTGAGCAGTAAGCCCAGGGAGCACGAGGATCAGCTGCTTTGCCCCTGCCTGGTCTCCAGTTTGTGCTGGCACATGTGCTGCTTAATATATTCATAAATGCTACGAAAAAAGGGACAGGAGGGAGCATGTGTGAAACAGGGAGCAGATTATGAAGAACTGCAAAAGAACCTTATGAGATGGCCTGTCTGGGCAGTAAAATGCCAGATAAATGTATATAATTCAATAAATGTAAAGTGATGCAACCCTGTTCCCTGACATGAAATGTTGCTCTCTGAGCTGTTCCTTCTTATGCTGGAGCAAAACTTTGAGTTACAGTAGATCACTCCATGGCAGCACCAGCTCAGTGCTTGGCAGCAGTCAAAAAGCACCAGATGTTTCCTATGAGGACAGGCTGAAAGAGTTGGGGCTGTTCAGCCTGGAGAAGAGGAGGCTCCAGGGTGACCTTATAGCGGTCTTCCAGTACCTCAAGGGGGCCTACAAGAAAGATGGGGAGAGGCTGTTCAGGAGGGCCAGTTGTGATAGGACAAGGGGTAATGGTTTTAAAATAGAGGGAGGTAGATTCAGACTGGATATTAGGAAAAAAATTTTTACCATGAGAGTTGTAGAACACTGGAACAGGTTGCCCAGAGAGGTGGTGGATGCTCCATCCCTGGAGACGTTCAAGGCCAGGTTGGACGAGGCCCTGAGCAACCTGATCTAGTTGGAAATATCCCTGTTCCTTGCAGGGGGGTTGGACTAGATGACCTTTGAAGGTCTCTTCCAGCCCTAACCATTCTATGATTCTATGATTCTATGTTAGAAATTATTAGGGAAGAAATGAAGAATAAGGCAGAAAGCATCATAGAATCATAGAATGGTTTGGATTGGAAGGGACCTCAAAGATCATCCAGTTCCAACCCCCCTGCCATGGGCAGGGAGACCCTCCACTACACCAGGTTGCCCAAAGCCTCATCCAACCTGGCCTTGAACACTTCCAGGGATGGGGCAGCCACAACTTCTCTGGGCAACCTGTTCCAGTGCCTCACCACCCTCATCATCTTTTGAATCCTCGGTTTGCACGGGGTGTGGTACTGTTGCAGCAACGTCCTTTCTGTAACAGCTTCCAGATGAGGATTGACAAAGCAAGTTGGGGCTCTTCAGTCTGGAAGGGAGGCTCTAGCAAAGCAGCACGATAGAGCTGTACGGAATTATGGATAGGCCAGTGAGTGGGCAGGGGTTAACTTTTCCTGGTGCGAGGTGGAAGAGCCAA